CCCCCCCCTTGGCCTCAAGTATAGAGAGTCTTCTTCTCGTAGTCCAAATTGCAACATTGTGGTTGCGTGGTGTTTGGCAGAAGTTCAATTAAACAACTTCAAGTTTGACAATCGTTGCCGAGGTCAAGCCCGTTGCGGCGTAGCGAGTCAGCCAACGGTCCAAAGCTCGGCACATGTTTTTTCGATCTCGTTTGGTCTCATCGTTTCTATTGGACCGTTCAATCTCCCCTCCCCAAACCTGCTGTTTCTGTGATATGAACGTAGTCATACCGCTATTTAGTTAGTGAAACTTGCGGGATCCTTCAGGTGTACTCCTGTTTGTGGAGCATGCAACCAGGTTGACCGGCACCGGAAACATCATCAATTTAAAAAGGAGTGCCCAGCAGGCAACTCACCCTTCAACATGCACAAATACCCTGGGACACTATCTCCAGGCCAACGCGGAAACACGGCAACATTGTGGCCCGAGGTGTCATACATGGTTTTCAATGTTTACTCCGCCCTACTACAGCCCCAGATGATTTGCTCCATCATGTTTCGTCACTCCCACCAACAAGTTCCAACCTGGTGCTTTCCCAATTAGCAACCCAGACCTATCGAGAAGTGTGATATAAAGGCCATGCTAAGTAGGCCATGCTAAGTCCTCATTTTAGTCTTATTAAAGGCTACAGCCAGCCCTCATGTCAGTCTTATGTTTGCAATTGCCATTTGCCTGTCACAAGAGTTGGGTGGATACACTCAAGTCCTGTGTGCTGCTGAAAAGCCCAAGGTGGAGCACAGACAGGAGTTGTGGAGACACAACTCCAGCCAGCTGCACAAAGTGCATGCTGCATGCTTGTTTTAGTGTTTGTGTGAGTGCTGAGAATTTTCAAGAAATTCACTTGATGACTTGATGGCCTTTGCGCTCCTGAAAAGGGATTGTAGCCCTTGCTGAGACTGGAGTTTGTGCATGACTGACTGGCATGTTGTACTCCTACAAGTTGTGTAGCGGTTGCGTCTTTTTGAGGTTTCATTGTTTTGTTATGTAGTAGACTTAGTAGACTGTTCAAGAATCGCAGTGCTTGACACCTTGCGATTATTTTGCTGTTCTCCAGCCAGTGGTTGACATTTTATTGACTTACTGTACCTTCCTATGCCCTAATTTTTGGCTCTCGGTTGTAGGGCAAGACAGAGCGGAACTCACCCGTCTTGTAGTGAAAGACAAGGCTTCTTCTTGCGCGATTTGACATGTCGACTCCAGTCACTTTGCACATCTATGACGTGTCCACCGACTCCAGGGTTGGATCCATCAATGAATATTTGGAGGCCTTGGGCACGGGGGCATTTCATGCTGGTGTGGAAGTCAATGGTTTGGAATGGAGCTACGGCTACTCGCCCGACAACACCGGTGTGTTCAGTTGCCCTCCCAAAGGGTGCAAGGCCCACAAATATCGAGACTCCCTTAGCATGGGAGAGACAGCGAAGTCGGCCGCTGAGATCAAAGAAATCATTGAAACCCTGAAAGAAGATTGGCTTGGCCTTGACTACGACTTGTTGCGCAAGAACTGCTGCCTCTTCAGTAAAGAGCTGGTGCAGAAGCTTGAGGTTGGTCCAGTGCCCAGCTGGGTGACAAACCTCGCCGCAGCAGGTGCCACGCTACATGATGGTCTGTTGAAAGGCAAGGAGTATGCGGATAAGGCAGCGATCATGGCAAAGGCCAAGGCTGGAGAGTTCGATGAGAAGTACAACATCAGCGGCACAGCTAAAGCAGCAGCCAAGGCCAGAGAGCTTTTAAATCAACATGTTGTCTTTTGCTGATGAGCATTTCCTGTGAGCCGGGACGTTTGGATTCACGTGTGAAACCATGCCCGTGTTTTTTCTATTCATGTGTTGGGCAGTGTTCTGCAGGAAGTGTTGGAAGCAGCAGGGCGATTCGATGAACAATACCGAGTGAGAGAGAGGGCACTTTTGGCAGCTGTCGCTCGGCTTTCAATCCTTGTCTTGGCTCTCACGAGCTGTGTTGATTGTTTCATTGTATACCTGGCTGGGCCCAAATGGCCAGCTCGCTCAAGAGGATGACGGATTGGTCTTTGATACGGTTTGGCTTTTTAGGTCAGTTGGAGCTTCAACATTAAGTCAATTTGCTGCGTGTGTGACATGCACGTGGCCAGACATAAGGCACATGCGAAGGCCAAGGCTGGAGAGCTCGGGCAGGCGGGGGTGGCTGGGAGCAGTTGCATGCAAGCAGTCAAAGCGAGTCATACGAGGGAATAGCATATGTGGCTGGAACAAGGCCATGCAAGATGAAGCTGCTGCACTCCACAAGGAGATGGACACAGATGGAGATGGGCAGATCAGCATGGACGAGATGACTCCTTGACAGAATGAAGGTTTCAACCTCACTGTGGTCCAAAAGATCCAGACTAAAAGCTAAAGTCCGGTTTTCAAGCTCTGATCAGGTGCTACAAGATGAAACGAAGTAAGCAGATTTGAAATGGGGTTGTGATGCGTGGAGCAGGTTCGGTGACCCTGGGTGTGAAATGGAGAAGAAACACGAGTAACTTGGTTAGAAGAGGACACTGCAATTCCACTCTCTTTAGGGTGTGAGGACTGCCCCAATTACGACCGCTTTCGGATAGTCTTGGATCTATGCCAATTAAAACTAAAACGGTTGCTAATTGCAACCGGATATATAATTGCACAAAATCTTGGTGGATCTCTTCAGGAGAGGAGGATTGGCCAGGTGAATGGAGTACAGGCGCTGAAGCCTGTGTCAACCTTGTAACACTACTGTAGTCTCTTTGAAGGGGATTCATTGTTAGAACTTTGAACCGTATGTTTGCAAGTCACTAAATTCACCCGAAACACTTTGTATATTCACAACTGGAGCAATACCAGCCTTTTGATATCCGAGGAGAGCATACCTGAAAGACAAGATGGCAAAAGCACACCGCGCTGTCGACAAAGATGGAGATGGAAAGATCACTTTTGATGAAGCGACGCTTGCCTGCCACAGGTACTTTATGTCCAGATTCCTCAGAACGAATGCTTCAAAATCGAATCTGAGGAAAAGCTATGCGGCAGAGCGAGCAGGGCATTGCGGTTGTGAGGCCTGCACACTTCAGTAGGCAATGGCTTGCCGATGTGACGATGTCGGTGATACATGCGTTCATCGCCAAGGGCACAACGATTGTATGATACCATGACACCTAGAAGAGTCTAGAGGTACTGGCACTGGCTTTTGTAGTAGGCCGGGTTTTACGGAAGCCCTGCTCCAATTGTGAGATGTTTTTTTGCATGGAACTGGCACTGTCCACAGCAGTCAATGGATGCTGCGATAAAAGATGCGGCAAAGTTTTCATCCAAGAACCACTCTGTTTTCGAAATCCTTCTTTAGAATCACACCGTTTATGTAGGAACTCATGTGCATCAGATCAGGCAGTTTGTGAATGGCTTTGTTGGTGTGCTGCATCCGCAAATTGGCTATGCACATCTAGGGCTCAGAGCCCACATCTCAAATTGTGGCAGCATTGGTAGTTGAAAGGTTCTATCGACCACACACTAGCTCGGAAAGGTAACAAACAGTCAGTTTCCTTTGCCAAGCTGCCGCTGCCGCTAAGCCATGGGCCTTTGCCACTCTCAGTCAGGGAATAGCAGCTTAGCTTCAAAGAAACGCCGGTGCCATTTCTAGTGGAATACGATAAACACCACAGCAGCCAGCGCGTGGCAGACACCAGAATCAAAAGCACGCACTGGTGGCAACTGACAGAAACACGGAAGCGGCACCGCACCTATTGTGCAACCAAGGCACTACGAGCAACTCCAGGAGCAAGAGCGGACGACTGGTTGGGAGGGAGCTGTCAGCCTTTGAGCGGTTGAGTTGGAAGGCGACTCCATATGCGGCTTGCCAGGATGAAGACATTTCCAAGTGGTACACGAAACCGATGTATTTTGCTTTGTGCACTTGAGTTCCCTTCAGTTTCAGTGTCCGCGGTGTTGAGCTGCGCATGTTTCAATCGTTGGTCTTTGAGGTAACTATTGCTCATTGGTTTCAGGTGGCTGGACCCACGACACCTGAAGATCTTGCAGAAGCATTGACCGACGTGCATTGGCACTTTGCAGCCCTGCAGGCTTCCCACTTTAGAGAACAAAGCACGCGGGAAAGACCTTCTCTTTGCAAGCGGTTGTTCTTTGCATTTGTGAGTTTTCTACGCTTGCGTGCGCTTGTGTTGTTTGAGGCAATTATTGAACAGAAACGACTGTTTCTACGACCAGACCTGAAGCCAGATATTGAGATTGATCTTGATGCTGATATCTCGCCACATAGTTTGGCACTCTTGGGGGCGGAATCAGCTTCAGCTGGAATTGGGCCTACCTGGAGAGCTTGTGAAGGAAAGCTACTCTGGCGAGCTCGGATACTCCGAGAAGGTTGGTTGCTTTTGATTTTTCACCATGCCATCATTGATGAAAAGAGTATATCGATGCTGATGAAGGAGCTTCTTTCAATCCTGTCGGGTCGAGAGAGGACATCTCCCAAGCCATCCTTGGATCCTAAGTTGACCCAGCTTCTGGACCAGCCTGACGTGGGTGGTCCCGGTACATCGGGGAAGTTCACACGCTTGATGGAACAGCGGAAGGGCGGCCGGTGGCCCGGCAAGGCAGTGGGGAGGTTGGCAGATATCGTGCCATCCTCAAAGAGAAGTAATGTCGTGGCCAGGGAAGGGAAGGAGTGGCCAAAGCCTGATGGTTTGGCGCCATGGCAGGATCGAAAAACCAGATCATTGGTGACGTCAATCCCGGTGGCTGAGAAGTTGAGGGCTGTGTGCCGTGAGCGGGGCCTTACTGTAAATACGGCCTTGCTTGCCAGCCTTGCCCTGGCCTTGCGAGGACAAATGTCGCGAGCGGGAACTGTAGGCATGCGGCCCATTCTTGCAACTGATGCAAGATCTCACATTCCAGATGGACAAGACTTGTTCGGATCCTATTCCTTGGGTGCTCGATATCGAGCTGGCTGGGGAACTCTCGACGTTGCCGAAGATACAGACTTCTGGAATTTGGCCACCTGTGCAAAAAAGGCTGTGGAAGATGCGGGTAAGAAACTGGAAATCCACAACATTGCATGGTACATGCGGTTTCTGACTGCAGCAATGGGAAAGAAAGACGTAGCGTGGTTGCAAGGAGCTATGGATTTGGATGGGCCGGATCAGGGCAGAACCAATGCCATCCTAGTGAGCAACGCGGGTGTGGTGAGCGGCATGGAAAGTGGTCATTTCAAAGTCACCCAGTCATACTTCGCTTCCCATCAAGCAGCCTGGGGTCCATTCGTTTGGCTCAACGTGATGACGATCGGTGCCCGTATGTGCCTGACTCTTTGCTATGTTGATCCGCTTTTGGCAGATGAAAAGGTTTCGTGGCCGCAGTTGGTTGTTCCTTTAGTCGATTGTTTCGTAGGCATTTGGTGTCTGGTGCGCTCTGTTTCTGCGAGGTTTTTCAGCTTGAAGATTTCCAGCTGCAGTTTTCTTGCACTGTTCAGGCCAAGTTGCTTCTCAATGACGTCGAGTCTCGCTTGACCAGAGCATGTGATAGCTTGGAACGAGCACTCCCACACTCTGAGATGAACAAGGAAGATTCCAAAACGAGCTTAAGCACAGATAGGCGCCAGGTAGCGAGTGTATAATTCCATAAACTTCCTGACTTCCAAAAGCTTTGAGCTTGCCGGCTGAATGTTTGTTGATTTGTTGAACCCATGAGAGAGCAATACATTTTCCCGTACCTCTTGAAAATCTCGGTGTTTTGGGGGTGCCCCTTGCGCAAAGCATGCCCAAAGCCAGCTCACCTTGAGTTCATGCTCGCCAGGGTTTCACCGAGAATTTGTGTGGCTGACGCTGAAAGTGTCAATTCTCCCAGTTACAGCGGCCCAACGGTCAAACGCCAAATAGTCCATCGCGACAATCGCGGCCCCAATATAGCTATGGCAGTTGCTTACGCCCACAAGATGGTGAAGCAATGATGCCGACAGAGTCTATCAATCCAAAAAGGGGCGCTAAGTTGAGTACTGGCTTTGAGGCACAGCTAGGCTTGGCTATTGAGAGAGCTCCGACATGCAGAGTCAAAGCAGAAGACATGATCTCTTCATTCTGGCATCCCACAGGTCAGACCCAGAGCGTCATAACAAAGCCTGCCATTGCATATCACGAAAGGTAGCGGTTACGCTACCTGAGTTTTCCTTTTGCTTTAGCAAAAATGTATTATACTCAGAGCTCGAGCCTATCTCTCAGAGAAATGGTCCCCGACATCTTCGTTTGATGGCCGGGGGGGCCCCCTGAAAAGTAGAGCCTACCTGTACAGGGTTCCACTCCAACAGCTGATATAGTGTGTCCATGCTTGACTGCTTCAAGGCTCAAGAGAGGGTCAATGGACCTAAGGATAAGACTCTGCGTGAGCAAAAGACACTAGCGGTCTGCACCTCTACCGTGTACGCCCTAGTCACTCTTTCAGTGGTAGCGGAGCAGTGATCCTGGAAGACCCAGGTGAGCTCCTTTCCTAGGCATAGAATTGCTTGTGGGCAAACGGCCATGGATTGGATTGACGACTGGGAAGAGCCTGATGCGGATGTGGCTTATGAGCCAGCAGCCTACGTGAATAGGCATGTGAGAAGAGAACCAGCAGCAATAGCAATGACAACACAGGTCACTACAAAGGTGCCCCCATCTTATGATGGAAAGACTTCATGGTTTTCCTATGAGGATGCCATAGACGATTGGTGTGATATCACCGAGCTGGAAGATGAGAAGAGAGGACCAGCTTTGAGAAACAGATTAGAAGGAGAAGCAGCAGTATACAAACGTGTATTAGACAGAGATTCATTGAAGGCTAATGAGCCACCAGGAGCAGGAGTAGATTACTTCAAACGAGTACTACGACCATATTTCGTGAAAGGATCAACCAATGTATTCCTATACAGGTTTATGCAATTCGTGCGATTCAATCGAGGATCAGCTGACATGATGAAATGGATGACAAGATTCCAGATTTTACTCCAAAGGCTTATGAGCAGTTGGATGGACATGTTAGAACCAGTCACTCAAGCACATCCCCAAGTCCTTGCTCAGATGCAGGCAGATGCAGCGTTGACTGGAGTAGCACCAACGGCAGAAAGGATTCAGGAAATCATGCAGAATGTCAATGGCAATATGAGAATTCTTCATCAGAATGATTTTCCTTTAGGAGAGAATCTCATTGCCCTACTCATGCTGTCACTTGCAGATTTGTCTCAGGACCAGCGAAACACTTTGACTTCTTTGATGACTCATCGTGGCAGGTACCTGCAGCAATACACTACAACAGAGCTGAGGACAGTTTTCATCGAGATGTTCTGCACGACAAAGACTTCAGTAGACAATCCTTTGATGCAGCCGACAGGTGCTGGAGGTAGAAGATCATTTCTCGTACTAGACGAAGGAGAACTCGATGGTACATTTGGCTATTGGGCCGAAGATGAAGAAGATGGAACTGAAGGATTTTTAGATGCCCTGGACGATGTCTTTTGGGTATATGATGATCAAAACTTCTCATGGTTCCAAAGGAGATTTCAAGGAAGAAGAGCCAGAAAAGGCAAAGGAAAAGGAAGAAGAAAAGGAAAAGGAAAAGGAAAAGGAAGATCAGGCCGCAGATTCTTCAGACCTCGTGGAAAAGGAAAAGGAAAGAGACGAGGTAAAGGCCATTTTGCTGATGAGCAACAGACAACATATCCAGAAGAGTACTTTGAAGAGAATCCTTATGAGGATACTTGGGAGTCAAACCAAGTAGCATATGATGCCATTCTTGCCGAGGATATGAATGACTATCTTCAAGGAGAATATGATGATGCCAATGACTTTTGGCAACAGCTTGAAGAAGCATGGTTTTCCCACAAGGGAAAAGGAAAAGGCAAGAGAAAAGGCAAGAAAGGAAAATGAAAAGATAAAGGAGATGGCAAACAAGATGCAAACTATGCAAATCAACAACAGCCACGTTCTTTACCTGCACCTTCAAGAACTTCACAAGCATCAGGAGGTCAACAAGGTTTCTTTGCACATTGTGTGACAGCAGCAGCTGAAGTCCATGACAGTGAGGTGGACTTGCTGTCAGGCATGATGACCTCATGCCAAGATAAAGCTGACTGCGTGGTCAACAATGGTGAGACGATCTTCGATGACATGAGTGCCCCTGTGAGGTACTCTTTGTCAAAGGAGATGCTCACAAAGGCTCCTGATGGCTTTGCGCTTATGAGCGCTGATGGCTTTGCGCTTATGAGCGCTGATGGCTTTGCGCTTATGAGCGCTGAGGAAGAAGTGAAGGAGATGCAGGCCATTTCATTTTTGACTGAGAATCGCTTCCCGCCAACTATTGCAATCCTGGACATTGGATGCACTAGAGCTATGGGATCAAGGCGAGCAGTCGACCATTTTTGCAACTATGTCGACAATCACCCAGATTGTGGATTATGGTACTCTTTTGAGGCTACCAAGAGCAAGTTTTACTTTGCCAATTCCCAGAAGGCTACTTGCTCTCAGAAACTGGTGATTTACATGTATGATCGTGCATGGACGATCCACCATACAGAGTTCGACATAGTGGAAGAAGGAGAAGTCCCTTTGCTTATGAGCTTGCCACAGATGAGGAACTTAGGCTTTGAACTCAGGCTGACACCTCAACATGCTTATCTGACATCGGTGCCTCTTGGTATCAAATTTTTGGAGTTGAAGGTTGCAGCCAGTACTCATCTTGTGTTGGACTTCCAAGATATTGCATGGTATCTGTCTGACGTGCGTTGGCAGACTCAGCGTGAGAAGAGTTTTTACTCTCACCTCACTCACTATGAATATGGACATATTTCTGTTGAACACAATAGTGATGAAGGTGAAGCTGAGCATGCATATCCTGTGGTTGATTTCTGGGAAGTAGATGTTCACAAGAGAGAACTGATACGTCACCACAAGGATTACAGGAAAATTCTTTTCCCAGCAACTAAGTCCTGTCCTGTAGACACTGACTTGCTGGAAGACTTGCGACTAACAATCATCAAGAAGAAAGCAGGAGGAGAAGAAATCAAGAAGACAGATGATTGGCGCAAGGCAAAATGGAAGGACCTACAACTTGGCTATGAATGGCGTGGTAGAACAATTTTTAAATTTAAGCCAGATGCCAAAATTCCAGATCTAAAGATCAGGAAGGCTGGCATTGAGCACCGTGGCATTGGTGATCCCGATGCAGTGGTGCGCTCCTCCTCAGAGAAGGTTCCCATTGCAAAGGACAGGGAACCAGGCTTCTCGTCAGAGAAGGAAGGTGCACCATCCAGTGCCGCGGAAAAGCCCGTGCCGCCAAAGTTCCGGTATACTTCCAAGGGTTTTGATCCATTTTGGAAAGGACACAAGTCAAAACCATCTGAGCCTCAGAATGATTTAAAGGGTGATGATCTTGAGGAGTATGCTCCCTCAGAACCACCTGAGAGGCCAGAAGGTGAACTTGTAGAAATTCCTAAAGCATCAAAAGGACCATCAAGTGAGAAACATGAACCACTTGAACCAGGTGATGGCGCTCTTGAGCCTAGGCGGATTTCAATCCCATTACCTGGTAGTGAAGTTGTTGCAATGACACCGGCATATAGGAAGATGTTACAGAGACTGGAGGACAAGGTAGAGCTTTATAAGCTTCATGTGAAGCACTACCATATGAGTCCTACTCAGTTTCGTAGACGTGTTTCTATGTTGAAGCTTCCTGACTCTGTTTTAGAGAAGTATGAATCAGTTGTCAGGAACTGCCGTGTTTGTAACACTTCAGTGGCACCTCCGCCACGAGCCAGAGTCTCCGGTATTAGAGCTTCATGTTTTGGTGATGTTGTTTTTGCTGATCATTGTGAGGTTGAACTTCACAAGAACAAGTATATCATTCTACTTGTTCTTGATGGTGCCACAAATCTTCTCTGGGCTACGGCACAGAAAGACCTCATAGATCAAACCACCATCCAAGCATTGAGGCAATGGTCTGATGAGAACAACTGTGTTCCAAAGGCCATCGTAGGAGACGAAGCCTTTTTCACCGATGCTTTTGTTGAATACTACAGGTTCCATGGTATACAACAATGTCCTTGTGGGCCAAGAACTCCTTGGCCGAACCGAGCAGAGACAGCTGTACGTTTGTTCAAACGTATGTGGCATGTTATGAAGGTAGATCTGGATGACCCACGTTTTCGTGGTGTTACGGTCAGAGAAGTGGTCAAGAAGGTAGTTTGGGCAAGAAATTGTCAGTTGACTATCAGTGGATATTCACCAATAGAGATAGCAACTGGAAGACGTCCACCAGATCTTTTTGACCTTGAGACCGCAAGCCCTGAGCAATTGTCAGCTAATGCCGCCGCACAAGATCGTACAAATTTGGAACTACAACGTGTGGCTTTGAGAGCTCATCAAGAAGCACGACAAGCTCAGGACCTTCGAGCAGATCTTGCAAGAAGGACTATGCCAAGCGACGGTCCTTATTTCCAAGGAGAGAAGGTTTTTGTTTGGACTCAGGATTCATCAAAGTTCAAGGATAAAGGACGTTGGGTTCGTGCCACAGTACTTGGACAAGAAGGAGCTATGGTCCAAGCCAATACTGGTAAGGCAGTGATACGTGTGAATCAGTCAAAGGTTAGACGTGATCACGATGAGTGGCATGATGTTTCCATTCCGGCATTAGACGATGAGAATCCGGAGAACTT